TAAAGAGAGTATTATCGACCAAGAGTGTGTTAGGTTTGTTGACGGTGATCTTCACAGAGAAGATGTGTATGCATTAATATAAATTAAATGCATTTAGAAGATTACTGTATGTTCATTTATAAAAAGGGTTATTGATATATGCATTAACATTTATTAGGTTGCTTATAATAACGTGAAAGATAAATATATTATAAGATTTCTTATAGACTAACATGTATATCGATTTTGTTTTATTGAGTTATTATAGTTTAGAAGTGTGGTTGCTCCTAAGTTATTTTGTATTGTTTTGTTTTGAACATTTGAACAAGGTGAATAGAAAATGAGCAAATATGTATGGAAGACGAGAACAACAAACATAAATGTACAAATTTCTACTTGTTAATTTTAATCGTTCTATTTAGCGGCTCTTTTATGTATTTGTTTGAATATTAAATTGTTAGTATTAGAATTAGAATAGCAGAGTTGTTTTTCACCATACGGACCAACGATGCTCTTCCTCTCGCAGCACTCACACAGTAAACCCTCGACGCCATCTCCTCCTTCACACGCGACGTAGCTCGATTGTTCTTCATGTCACTCCTCTTCTTCCTCTATACGCGAGCGGCTTGGGTTTGAGTCTTCTTCTTTACTTTACACTGTACTTGCTCGACGATCATGCGTGCGGGTAAAACTTCAATCTCCTCCCACGAAGTCGTTCACATCATAGCAATGTGCGTGGGATTTGGTAGGTTCGCAGACAATCTATTATCCTCTTCTTTCTTTTTCTTCTGTTTCCTCGCTCTCTCGATTCCTAGGCTTTCCTATCATGTCAATGGTTCACAAGAGTTGTCCGTCCCTTAATAAGATGTTGTTGAAACGCTTTGATCGATCCAACACAACTCAAAAAATTTAAGACTTCGTATTTTGTTTTTGTGACTGCTTTATAACTGAAATGAGTTAATTTGGTGGGCTTTTAAATACATTTTAGCTTTGATCATGTCATTTCTGATGGTGCGGGAGAGTTATTTTCTTTGTCATGTTCAAGTCGCTTTACATTGGGCAGTGACGAAATGTTGCCGTATATCTTTTGTAGCTTTTGAATGTCTGAGTAATTTGATGCATAAGCTTATACAATAAGATAATTTTATGTTAGTATGGCTTTTGACAAATTCTAATAACTCTATTTTTTTTTATCAATTAGAAACTGAATTTATGATTGGATAGACCCTTGTCAGAGGCCTTGAGTGAGTTCAGCCTGGTCAACTACAAGCTTAAGATTATTGACATAGAATCTGTTTGGAAATGGTAGTAAAACATTGAAGGGTTTTCCAAGCTCTTTGGAAATTATTAATAAAGCAATGAAGGGTTTTGCCATTGTTATACCTCATCAAAGAGAGCTTGCTAACAACATTCTCTATATTCTAGCAAATTGTTTGAAAAAAGAGAGCTTGCTAGCACTTGAACAGTCTCTATACGCTAGCAAATTATTTAAAAAATTCATTTAAATTCTACTAAGCTAGTGATGCTGACAAGAGCAAGTCTTGTGAACCTTTGTAGGGGTGCTTACTTGATTTTTGGGAAGATCAGTTGACAATTTACAATAAAACTTAATATAAGAAGATTTTTTATTCGAATTTAGTGACATGCTTAGTCTGGTCCATCTCTCCTCAACAAGATTTGAGAGTTGTTAGTTTTAACTTTGATGGTGGTTGAGCTTCTGCGATCTGAACTAAAAAATGATTGGTAGGCTGAGTAAAGAGTTTTTTGGGTTGTCGAGGATGAGGATATTCTAGACGGATTTTGAAGACTATGATGTTGTAAATTAACTGAAATATTTCCTTGGAGAGGATGAACTTGGGGAGCATCTTATTGTAAATGTTTTAAGATTCACTGGATCATTTTTGTCTATGAATTCTCCATTTTATTCAGTTAAAAAGAGATGAGTTCTTATTGCTCATCCTTTGAAGATCTCTTCGTGTAATCGGCATGCTCCAAAGCCCGACTTCTTGTTCTTGACATCTTCCTTAATCTTCACGCGATAGAGAATATTGGATCAAATTTTTTCTGTAGGATATACCGGACCTTTACTAACTATTATGGATGAAGCCTAATAGAAAAAAAAGAAAAATAGTAAAAAGAAGAGAGAAAGATAAACTAGAAGTAGAAGATCTAGGATTTTACTAGATCTTTATTTGAAAATACATGCTAATGTGTCCTATGTTGATCATAATGAATTTGACTTGGCCCATGATAGGTTAAGATTAAGGTTTTTGAACACAAAAATAGCTATATTTCTTCTTACACAAGTTACATAGTAGGGCTACAAAAATATATAAAATTTTCTAGTTGATAGTGTCAAAATTTTGAGAAAAATAGGCTGAAATCTGATTAAATTCGATTGGCTTTTTCCTTTGATTTCATTCCATTAAATAACGATCTTACAATTTATTTTAGGTACAAAATAAAATGCATATAATATATTTTAGGTAACTTAATAATACATATTCCTAATCTAAATATTCAACTAAAAGGGAAATAAATCAGAATAAAGATATTGGAAATAAAGAAGCTCCTAATTATAGAAAACTTCTAATTTAGCTGCCTGATTTTTGTCCTTCCTGATTGACATCCGCTCTCAAATTGATGCTAACTAATCAGAAAACATCAAATTGCTAACAAAAAGCTGATAACATTGTCGGGACAAAAAATTCTTAAGTTGCCGAAGTCGAGAGTGCCAAAGCCTCAAATTGCCGAAGCCTAAGAATGCTGAAGCCAAAGAGTGTCGAAGTCTGAAAGTGCCGAAGCCTGAGAGTACCGAAGCTCAGAGTGTCAAAGCCTGAGAGTGTTGAAGCTCGAGAGGCCGAAGCCTGAGAGGCCGAAGCCTGAGAGTGCCGAAGCCCGGGAGGTCGAAGCCTGAGATTGCCGAAGTCCAACAATGTCGAAGCCCAAAAGGCCGAAGCCTGAGAGTTCCGCAGCTTAAGAATGCCGAAGCCCAAAGCCGAAGCAATCGATAATGCCACAGAAACAACGATGTCTAGTGAAGAAGATCTGAATCAGACGAATGATGATACAAACATAATATCCCTTTTCAACCCAAGGATCTTTAATTCCCACAATGAATGGATTTTGCACTTTAGAATAAGTTGCATCTCTTGGAAAGAAGACCTACGACATTTATCTGCTTGTCGAACAAGTATGACTTATGACATTTATCAGCCTGTCGAACAATTCCGATCTTCTTCAAGATATACTTCAACTTGTTTTTTCAACAATGGGACATTGTGCCTTTCGAAACCTTTTCACGGAGTACCGTCCAACAGTGTGTGGAAGATAAGTAGCATCTGCAGGCGGAGCCAACCCCGAGGACGTTTTCGGCAGTGGGACCACAGGAGCAGCAACCACCATGGATGGGAATCAAGGCTCGTGGAGGAGGCGCAGTTGTGGCACTAGAGTAATCCTAGGCGGAAAAATGTGGTGCTCCAGATTTTACGTGAAATCTTGTAGGTAGCTCGATCGTAAGGGCTCTTCAAAACGAACCCCGGGCTCGATCCCATCTTGACGGCAGCGTTGCGGTACTTCTTTTTGAGACGACGTTGTTTCTCCGCTATCTGGTTCTTATTGAAATCGAACTGTAGCTGAGGCAGGATCTCGTTGAAGAAGGGTCCCGTGTTACGCTGGTAGTTTGCGTGTGTCATTCCCCTCTTCGACGTAAACTCCAAAATTCCCTGCAAGACCTTCATCTCGTCTGCCTGAGTCCACAACTTCTGAAACAACTGCCGGGATTCCTCTCCTCCGCTTGTATTGGCGATTTGACGATGGATGTGGTCGCTTATGCCGATCATTTCCTCGCTATTAGTGACTTCGTCGTCTCCTGCGGCGAGATCGTCCTCTCTGACGGAAGGCATGGTTGTGGTGCGGGGTTTTAGACAATGTAGACGAGCGAGAATCAAGGAAAGAAATAGTTCATCCCTTTCCGCAAGAAGGCCGGCGGGAAGGGAGTCTTGACATTCCTCCAATAACTACCTGTGTTTAGGGAAAAAACTTGGCTCTGATATCATGTCAAAGTTTTGATAAAAATAGGCTGAAATCTGATTAGACTTGATCGCCTTTTCCCTTTGCTTTCATTTCATTAAATAACAATCTTATAATCTATTTTAGGTACAAAATAAAGTGCATATAATCTATTTTTAGTAACTTAATAATACATATTCCTAATCTAAATATTCAACTAAAAGGGAAATGAATCAGAATAATGATATTGGAAACAAGGAAGCTCCTAATTATAGAAAACTTCTAATTTAGCAGCCTGATGTTCGTCCTTCCTGATTGACAGATAGCTGTCCAAATACTTAGTTAACTCATGATATATTTTAAGCTACTTATGTAATCAATTGAGTAGGAACTTCTTTTGATGAGTTCCATTGTCCAGATCATAAGTGAGTTCATTCTAAGTGGGTGAGTTGCCTTAGGCGACTTAACGACTTTCATTCCAAGTTCGTAGGTGATCAATCCTTTCTTTTGACAATTTTAGTTTAGAGGTTAGTCGATTCAATCGACTTTATGACTGAAGTTTTTTAAAGAATTGGTTTTGGTTCCTGGAGATTTGTTGTTAGAAACATGCCTTGATTTAATTTTCTCAAAATTTCATTGGGTGTACATTTTTTGTTTCCACAATTAGTATCATGATTTGGTTACTTTTTGAATTGCAACCCAATTGATGCACATTACCTTGGGCTGTTGTGATAGACTGTAACCAGTAAATTCCTTTTACCTTTAGCTGGAATTTGGTAATGTCAATATTGCTAGAAAGGTGGGGAATTCCAATATTGCTGTCCCTGTAATTACATATTTTTCGTTATTGACTAGAATTTAACATAATTTATCATAAACAAATTGTGCTTAATGTCTCATTATTATTACTAGTGTTAAATTCTTTTCAATGTCTCTTTATTACTCTAAAAAAAATTTCTTTCACCTGATATAACAACTTATATAAAAAATTTTTATTTTGCATCTTGAAGAAAATTACAACTCAGAAAGGATTAGCTGTGGAAAAAGTGCCCCGAGCTTCAGATGTGGATTGTTCAGTGACTTCTGGACCCGTGTTTATCAGTACCAGCAGTTATGTGGTTAACTCTGAACTGGAAACTGGAACAATTAAAGGATTAGACAATGATGAATCAATCATAGCATCAACAAATACTGTTTTAGAAAAGGATGTCCGGGAATCGGTTTCACTAACTGATCCTGAAAAAATAAGGAAGGATCTGGCAGCCACGAGTGTTCAAGCGGCCTTTCGGGGTTACTTGGTATTTTTCACTTGAAACACTGACACTTTATTATTTCATGTTAACATCAGAATATTGGTGCATGCAAACTTGATACTGACTTATTATCCATCAACAAGTTTAATAATTTTGTCTAAATTTTTAAATTCTTTGATAATTTCTTTTATTTTGATGGATTGTATAATTAAATCTATTTGCTTCAACTCAAGGATGACTCTCTCAATATTAATCTTTTTCAATCCGAAATTGTCTCAATTTATTTGAATGCATAGACTTGTACAGGCTACAATATATACATGTTATAGATAGATAGAGAGAGAGAGATCAAGAGAGAGATAGAGAGCCGTATGCTTGTTTTGATATGTGCATTTTCACAATTCAAAATCAAATTATGTTTCTACAAATTTATTTAACCAGTCTATTTAATAATATCTTACAATATTATTTTTATGTACAAATTATATATTCATATATTTTAAATGTATACAACTACAAGAGCCTTTATCCCACTAAGTGGGGTTGGCTACATGAATCCTTTTTTCCATTATGTCCTATTGATTTTCATATTTTCATTTAATTCTAATAAATTAAGATCCTTTTTTATACAACATGCCTCTTTATAGGTCTACCTCTACCTTTCTTAACATAAGTCAAATCTAAAACATCTACTCTCCTAATTAGGTCATCAGATGGTAGACGATTAATGTGACGAAGGCATCTAAAATGACAAATTTAATTTAGTTTTTAATAAAATATTCTATAAAGTAATAGGATTTTTAGTTTGCTCGAATGTTGCTTAAGATAATCAATTTATAATTACCTTAATTTTGAGTTAAGCTATAATTGAAAGTTTTTATATCAAATTGAGGCCGGCTTAACAATTCAAAATCACCACTACCACTCTTCTTCTCTCCATTTCTCCAATAAAATTGTGCAACTATTAATCTGTATTTCTACAATTGTATTCCTACAATATGATACATAGAGGTTACTGGTTATCCTACAAATTTCGAAATGCGTTGCATAAATTCTACAATTCATTTTGAAGCAGTTGTTTTCTTGACATTGGTGCCTTTTTACACTTTAAAACCTTTTTTTTTCCAGTTCACCTAATTAATATTTTGCCATCGTGATGTTACTTCAGGCTCGTAGGGCATTTGGTGCGTTGAAAGGAATTATAAGGCTGCAGGCACTCATTCGTGGACATTTGGTAAGGAGACAAGCTGTTGCCACGCTATATTCTCTTATGGGAATCATCAAAGTTCAGGCTTTGGTTCGTGGGCAAAGAGTTAGATCCTCTGGTATTGGTCTTGAAATCAGTACCAAGTTTCCTTGCAGGAAGGACATGGTAATAAATTAAACCATGCAAATGCATTAAGAAAATAATGCCACAACCTCATTATCTTTGTAGCTTTTACTGCCATTATTATCCAGAATGAATTCGTCTTTGATTACTTCTTGTTTGAGACGCTGAGATGCTACCACAAGAATCCTTGCCCAAAAGCAGCTTAATATCTACAAATTAGCTCAGATGACTATCATTTATATTGTGCTAATTTTAATACTTCTAACCATCTACAATTTTGAAAATGCTTGAAAGTATACTTGTGAAATTATATATCACCAAAGCAAACAAGAAAGACATGTAGTTCAAATGAAAAGATCTGCTTGAAATGTTCAACAAAGGGAAATGCGGAATATTTACTTAATTGCTACCTGGCATGTGTAGTTTGCAATTGTATGAAATGTTGTTGAATGATTTCATTTGAAATGTCTTAATTGCTTAATGTGCTTCTATTTATTTTTGTTGACCATTTCTTATCAAGTCTTAAAAGATCAGAATGAACCATAGTTTTCTAGGAATTGAATTGAAAGACACTTTCATTGCTCTGGGAAAAATGAATGGGGATTCTACCTTATCGCTTAATCACTTTGGTGAAAAGGGGGTGTAAATGAAAAGGGATGCGTTCAAATTTGAAATAATTGAGGAAGACGGATTCAATAATAAAATTTTGAAGTATTTGGAATTCACCCTCCTATTTATTTTCAATGTATTTGGAATTATCCAAATTTTTGGTGAATTTCAAATGCACTGAAGATTAAAACTTTGTTGGCCGCCTGTCAACCTTGTCAGCAGCAGTTAGTCGCTCTCTGTGCTCATGTTAGCAGGTGTCGTTGCTGACGCCTGCTTGTCATCATCATCTGCCCTGGCCGCCGTTGCCTGTGGGCTTCGCTAGCACCCTTTGTCGCTGGCTATACCGGCTTACCCGACTACAGCCTCCCTCTGCTTCTTGCCTCACGCTGGTTTTTCCAAACTGACTGCCACTTTTTTCCACTGCCTACAACTGCTGCTGTTGCCCGCTGCCTCCTCCTGCTACTCTAACCCCATATTTTAAATTGATTTAATTTTTTCTTTAGACTAACCAAAAAAATATACACGCATGTTTTTTTTATTAACAACAAACCAAAAAACTCTAAAATATTCTAAATACACTTCATTTCAATTACAGCGAGTTCCCTTTTACATTGTATTGTTTTTCTTTTCAGCAAAACAAACAGTCTCTTTATTATTTACTTTCTCAGTAAAGTTCCCAGTCTATCACAACAGCCTTAATGAGTTGATGCTTTGAGATTATCAATCTTGTCATGTCCTTCTATTCAGAGCTGATGTCCTTATTTAGTTACTCCTTCAGAAGAAGTGCTATACTTGCTAGCTCTAGACTGTTTATTTTCCATTTCTAGCTTTTTTCATATGTTATTTGTCTGTTATGATGCTGGTTCTGCCCTTTGTGATTTCAATTTTTGTTGTTGATTTTTTAGTGGATGCTAATGTTTAATATGTTTATTTTTCACCTGATTTTTCCATATAATGAAAATATTCCCTAAGGCGCCATTCTAATCATTTTGAAATTATATAGCATTTTGAAATTATATGTTGTAAGAGTTGTTACAGCTTTTGTTTTTTAATTTTTCCAGGTGGTTAAGAAATTGAACTCCAAGCATAAACTCTTTGCAAATGTTTTTGTTGTCAGGGTAAGTTTACTCATCTTCTGGCAAACCTTATATTCCAATTTAATTAATTTATTAAGCAATACCTAAGGCGCTATCCTAATCATTTTAATATGGAAGTATGATGTGCTTTGCTTCTTTCCGATTAAAATATAAATTTAACTTTACAGACTTTTATTTTTTCATCTTACTCCTTTCGACTCATTTGTGTCTCATAATATTCAGCTTGTTTCTTCACCAATTACTAGAATGCCTTTGCGAACCCAGTACATTCAATGTGAACCTAATTCTGTCTTTAGCTGGCTCGAGAGGTGGACAGTCTCACTATCCTGGAAACATGCACTGCCGTCTAGGAAAATTACTGGATCAAAACCACAAGCCAAGAAGAATTATGCTATGGAAACTGAGTCGGGCAGATCGAAGCGTGGTGTTCGACGAAATAATACATCAACCATTGACTCTGGCTCAAGTACAGTTGCAGATCCTGAGAAGCCCAAACGCATCTTGAGAAAATTTTCTAGTCCTAATGTTGATTCAATTACAGAAAATCCTCAAAGTGAGCTTGAAAAGGTTAAACGTAATCTGAGAAAGGTTTCCAATTCCATGGCAGAGACTTATGGCCATGTAGAGATTGAAAGTGATAAATCGTCCCCAAATCTGAAAAAACTATCAAATACTCCATCTTTTGCTCCATATCAGAGCATTGAGGATTCTGTAGAAGAGTTAAAAGATGATGTGGCATTGACTCCTAAAACTGAGCTTGTCCTGGAAACTGAATCAAAGTCCATACCCGTAGGTGTAATTGATGTGCCATGTGATGATCCTTGTATTGATGAAGTGCATCCATTGCAGAACATTAGTGGGGATGATAACATTCCAATGATGAATGGCGGGACATGTGTTAAGGATGACCTAATTCACAGAAACCCAAAGAGGGGTAAAAGAAGGGAATCTTTTGCTGCAAAATCGGAAAATGAAGAAAATGGTATTCAAACTAATTCCACGCTTCCAAGTTATATGGCAGCAACCGAATCCGTCAAGGCAAAGCTTCGTGCACAGAATTCACCAAGAGTTTGTTCTGATTCAATTGAGAGGAATGGAACTGAGAGGAATGGCGTAACCCGCCGACATTCTTTGCCATCTTCTACCAATAGCAAACTTAGTTCTCATTCACCTCGTACACAGAGACTTGTGCAAACTAATGGAAAATGTGCTGCTAAAAATGATAGAGCTCTTTTGTCATCTAGAGATGGACATGGTATGTGTTTCCTCACTTATTTTATCTATTTATTTAATTGTATTTATGCCTTCCTGTGCTATGTTTTATTGAATAATTAAATCCCAGTTTTTTTATTTGTACTTTTTGTTAAATCTATTAATGTTTCCCGAGTAACTTGGGAAAACCATAATTTTAGAAAAATGAAACAATGAAAAGAACTCTCAAGAGTCTTGTTCATTTTTTTTTGTACAAGAGTGGAGGTATGTATACATCTTCCAGATGCATTACAAAATAAGAATGAATAAAAAATGAAATAAAACATAATAAGCGGTCAATGATCCTACAACAAAGAAAACAAATTGCAATCCAAGAGTCATAAAGAGATGGATCTAATGGTATAAAGTATTGATTTGTGTGACTTACGTTTTTTGCAATCCAAGTCATAAGAAAATAGATCAAATGGCACAAACCTTGATCTGTGTGCCGTAAGTTCTCTGCTCTAAATGGTGTAATAGAATTTCAACACTCGCTCTCAAATTAGATTGTAAAGATCTACAAGTTCAAATTTATTTATGATATTTTTCTTTAATGAATATGTCGGCAAGTTGATTACTTGTAGGCGCACATTGAGTCCAATTAATTCACTTTCTAATTTTTCTTTATAAAGTGTTTTTCAGCCTCCGGATGTTTAGTGCGATCATGTTCAACAAGATTGTGTGCAATACCAATAGCTGATTTATTATCACAGTTTTATTTTATACGCTCTTTCCTTTTTGGTTTTTAAATTCGCTTATATAATTTTAGCCCATTGATGCTTATAAATCTCTTAAGCAATTGCTTTAAACTTGGTTTCACCACCTGATCTTAAAACCTTAGGCTATTTTTTACTTCTTCAAGTTATGTAATTTCCTCCTAATGTACAATACTCTAAAGTAAACCTATCTACCAATGATCCAGCATAGTTTGCATCTCTGTATTTTTCAATTTGTAAGGTATCATATCTTTTATATAAAATTCATTTTCTTGAGCTTGATTTGAGATATATGAGAATTCTATAAGTCGGTTGAAGGCGTAACTTTTTAGATTTGCACATGAATTGATTGATTAGACATACTGTGAATGCGATGTCAGAACAATTGTGAGATTAGTAGATTGGTTTTTATACTAATCTTTGATATTATCCTATATCTACATTAGCTCATTCTAGGTTTAATTTTTGTACTAGTCAGTTGGAGTTTCACATGGCTTGTATTCCGTTAACTTATTCTATTTCAACAGGTCCATAACAAATTTTGTTGGGAGAGAAATATTCCTTGTTTATAGCCCATTTCTATTCCTAATAAATATTTCATTTTTCTTAACCCTTTCATTTTAAATTCTTTAACAAGTTTTTTTCTTGAGAGCTTTTTGCTCTTAATTATAATGTTATGTAACAAGCATATCATCTACATACACAATAAAAATTGAACTTTTCACCATCAAACTAGTGCTTTCTGAAGAGAATATGATTTCCTTGACTCTATTTATATGGAACTCTTTCCATAGCTTTTATAAATCTGCCAAACTAAGCTATTTGTCATTGTTTTTGTTCATATAAATAATTTATCAATTTATTCCTTATTCTTTTGAATAAACTATGAAATTTTGGTGGTGGATTTATCTAGAACTCTTATTTGGCACACCATGTAAGAAGATATTTTTTACATTATATTGTTGCATAGGACACCCATAATTTGTTGCTAGAGATACCAAAATACGAACGGTATTCATTTTTTCAATTCGAGCAAAAACTTTCTCCCATATGATTAAGTATATATACTTTTGCTACCAATCTGCTTTATAGCTTTCTCAACTTTCATCTCATCGTGTCTGAACGTGAAAATTCATTTACATTCTGCTGTATCTTTTCTTTGTGTGATTGAACTTTCTCGCTATATCACTTCTTTGGAGGCATTTATCTCTTCTGTCATGGTTTCCTTCTATTTTGTATTTTTAAGTGCTTTAAATAAAGTTTGTGGAATAGAAATATGATTGATGTTGATGTTTGTTAGAAAAGTTTTATGAGATGAAAATAATTTCTGAAAGAGGTTTAGATAATTTCTGAAAGAGATTTAGATAATTTCTGAAAGAGATGGATTGAGAGATAGGATATAATGAGTAGTGGTAGTGTGCTGATTAGTTTTACTTGTTAATGTTTCAGAGTTTTAAATTTAATGGAGATTTTGGTTAGGCTTATTCCTACTTATATAGAACTGAAGGGGATAGTTGGTATAATATCTGTATTTGTAGGATTTGGGTGTACATAAATATCAAGATGAAAAATATTGTCAAACTTATCATCAAGCTGAGAATTCTGCCCCTGAAGATGTATTTTTGTGAAGATGCTATGAGTTTAATTAAAAGTGACTTCTATTGAAGTGATGAATCATTTTGTGAGTGCATGATAACCATTGTATATATTTTTTTATGATAGAATATTTGATGAATACACACTTAAATATTCTTGGAACAAAATTTTCCTTATGTTGTTTATGAATATGAATATAAGCCATCAAAAATTTTTTAGAGAGAGCTTTGTCGGGATTTCATAGATGATTGCAACATCTTACTTTGAGTAGGTTTGTTTAACTGCATTCCGTACTTATTTTGTGATGGATAGAAAGGTAAAGGGCTTACTGATTTTTGATAGCATGGTGTTCCACAATCATATCATAATCATGGAATAAGTTTCTTCCCAAAGTAAAAAAAAAAAAAAAAGATTTTTGGGCTCTGGATGTAGTAGATCCGAATGGTGTTGGTTCTTTTATTTTCCTTTTAGAAAGATCTTTATGATTTTGGACCATTTAAGATAATTTTTTGCATTCAAGAAATAAGATGCTTGAAATACCTGGAGTTCTCCTTTGATCTGGTTTCACTATAAAGTATTTTTGCTTTCTTTGAAGGGAAGTCAAATAAATCGGACATAATGGAAAGAAAGAGGCCCTAAACTTAAAAAATAAGAGCAATGGTGGGAAGGAATATTCTAATTTTGCTATGATATTATAAAGAAAATGAAACGACGAAAAGAACTCTCAAAAGTTTTATTCAGTTCTTTGTATAATAGTGGGGGTATGTGTACATCTCCTAGAGGCATTATAAAATAGGAATGAATCAAAGCAAGGAGGGAAAAATAATTAGAGGCCGACAATCCTACAAGTAAGCATACATATTACTCTATGAGGTAATTGAGAGGCAAATCCAACTCTATTGAGCCTTTATAATTATGCCTTATATTCTCTACAATCCAAGTGTCAGAGAGAAATAAATCCAATAGCGGAGAGCATTGATCCGTGTGCCTTAAGTTCTTTGCTTTGATTGGAATAACAAAATTTCAACAATAACCTTAAACTAAAGTTTGTGATTCCATGATGATGCTAGGTCCTACGTAGTTTATGCAAATGAGGGTACCTTGTTTAGAGGATTGTAATATTCTTATTGAATTGTGTGTTTTTGTATATTGTGACCCTAACTTAATTTTTATTTGGTGTTGCTCCGCTTTTTGGTTCAGCTTGACAAGTTCTTGAACAACACTTTTCCTATCTTGATATGAATTTTTTTGTCAAATTAATTACGTTTGAACCTTGCATGCACACTCTCGCCCATGGTGATGGCCGTTCACAACTTTCCTTCTGCTCTCACACTTGGGTTTGCCCACTTTCATTTCATGCACGATCCTTGCTCAACCTAGCCATAACTTGTTTGTCTGCATTCGTCTCATTCATGCTGGTGGGTGCCTCTGTTATATGTGCTCCTTGTTCTTACTGTGGGTTTACAAGAGCTTGTTTGAGGTTTTGACTCTCACTCTTGCTCTTGCTCACTGTTGCAATTTGTGTGTATACCTTCATTGTGTGCTCCTAGTGTAGTTGCTTTCGCTGCTTTTTTGTGTCAGGCCACGTTGGTCTATTTTGCTATTATCTTTGGAAGTTTTCTTTTGTCGCCTAGTCTTGGGCCTAGCTTTATGGTTTGTTCTTGACATCTACATCATGGAGGACATCCGGCAACCATTTCTCACTTATGAAGACCAATCACATTTTTCAATCAAAATCAATACTTCTAGTGTTTTTATTTCTATAGTCTCTATCAGGTTGTTCGTATAGGTGATAAAATTCCTTGGTTGCACTTTTAAATAAAGATTTTCAGCCCTTAACTCTGATTACCTCTAACATTTGACGACTTTCATTGTTGCCACTTTTTTCTTTTGTTGTTCTTTTTTCCGAGTCTACTACTAGTTTTAGAGCATTCAATATTGTTTCTTCCACTTCTCTCACTCGATCCTTTTTTAAAGTTGTTGGGCCCTCTCCTAATTATTTCCCTTTTTTTTTAAGCTAGATTTAGTTCCAACTAACAGCGACATCATTTTACTTTTCAATTACCATTTTTTTAATTGAAGATGAGATTTCAAAGCTTGCACGTCTACGCTATTTTTTTCTATTTCAAGTATTTTTTACTTGGGATGTCCCAATGTAGAGTTTCTTTTCAATTTTATATCTGACTTGCACTTGATTAGTTACTTTCTTGTTGGGCTCAATTACTACAAGGTTATTTTTAGACTCTCTTTTCACAAAGATTTTATTATATCAGTGGCTATGGTGTGAATGCTAAAATAATTATGTCAGCTTGTTTAAAATAGTTTTGGTTGAATAAGGCGTTGCTATTCCACTTTAAAAAGATGTGTCGATTGGATTCTCATTTATGACTATTGATTGAACAAAGAATTTCAAGGTATTTTTCGTCATTATTTCTTGAAAATTTTTTTGGGCACAACTATTCTGAAATTTTAAAACTCATCTAGAATTTAGGAAATTAAATATTCTGACACAAAGTGAAAATCTAAATGATCAAACTATATCTTCAAACATGATGGTTATTGCCTTTCCTATTGTAGATCAAGCTTGCACTTAGAATTTGGAACTAAATTTTGACCATTCAATAGAATCTTAACCTTTTGTGTCGGACTTGCTTATCTCGGGGATATGTTCACCTCATCACGCAAGAATTTGGATTGGTCATGCTCCACCTAATATATTTTCCTTTCTAATTTTATTTAAGATGATAATCATGTTTTAGACTAGCCTTTAAATTTTGATGGGATTCTTCAGAGCACTGATATCTTGGTGGATTGGAGGTTTCAAATCCTATTTCCTTTGTGAGGAAAGTTTATAATCACTTCCATAGATTCAGCAGACTTTGAGTTAAGGCACTTTAAAGAAGAGCTTATGTACTTTTACTTTTTAACTAAAGGTTTTTTTTATCTTATTATTTCAAGTTATTTGTAACTATAGTCTATGTTTATTTAGTTTTTCTTCTCTCAACGTTTTGTGATTGCCTCATGCTATGTGTATATTATTAACTGGTTATAAAATTATGAAACTTAATATTACAGAATTATGGGGAAGCCATAACTGTTTGTGCTTATGTAATGATATTTGCTTGGATATGCTATTATTGTAGCCCTGAGATAAATCTATGTTTATATAGGATGACAGATTGAAATCTTTTTATTGCTTCTGTTATTGGCAAAGCAAAGATGTTTTCTGTTATTAGTTTAAAATACTATGCTCTCAGAAGTGTGATTTTTACATCTACTTGAATTAAGTGTTTCCACGTCTTATTTATTTAAACCTATGATATCTAGTTGAAATGGAGGCATACAATAATATAATATAGCTCCTCACATGATCACCTGGTATTTAGTAGTGAGATCTTTATATATTTTTGTGCTGGGATCTTAAAAAATCCATTGTTGCAAAAAACGATTATCAAATCCATTTAGAATAATTGAATCAGCGCTCTACTTTACTCGTACAGAAAAAATCAAAGGCAATGCTTAAATTTACTCATAATTGTTTTTATGTGAGAATCTATTTTCCTTTAGTTTTGAGATTCGTTGTATTAGACTATATGCCTTAATTGAATGATGCTAATCTCATGTTTTTAGTTGTCATATTTATACCATGATGGTGATCATACTGGCTGCTAATACTCTAAGATCGGATGTTCATCTCTTTCCTATAGTCATTCAACCGCAACTACAATTGCACCCAGTGCATCACACTTGATGATAAAGATAGTGTTTGCTCGTTGCCACCTAAAGTCTAAACTATGATTCTTCAGTTAGCTAGGCTAGAGATCGTCAACAATGATATCGTGGAAAAACAAGTCATATGGTTGGTCAAATTAAGGATAGTGATCCTGAATATTTGGGCTTGCTATTCTTCCATCGATTCGAGGAAAAAAAATCATAGTTGATCAAGCAACTTGCTGAGCTGGTTGGCACTATGACATCTCTCCTGTACTTACCAGATTGTAGTACTTATCAAATCAATCTCAGAATCGAAGGCTTGATTAGATGCCAAGGCAAATAGATGGATGCCCAAATAGGACTTGAGTAGTAGCTCATCGGATATGATATGTTTTGATCATGTTTAATAGAAGTGATCTATTCATTTTTGACCTTGGCTATGAGGTTTTTCACAATCACTATTAACAAGTCATAGTCTAGTCTCTAGTTCAAGTCTTACCCATAGGCGCCACACTTTAATGGACATTGTATCATTAAATGTTTTGGGAAGGATCTAAGTTTTATACGAGACAATAAATCAAATTGATTAATACTAGAATAAGTTCATAAGATTGAGTAGATTGCATGAGCCACTCAATCTATGTCGAGGGGCTAACCTGACACTTTTGGTTGAAAGTTGTTAGCTAAATTTCGTTTAGCTCACTTAATTCAAAGATATGGAGTGAAAATAGATAATAAAGTTTCACCCAAGGCCTTCCTTTTTGATTATGTTCGTGCATATCTCTTGTTCTCTTATTCATAGTTTAGAATCAAGGATGACACTATTGTATGGGATATAATACTCCTGCTAATTGGGAGGTAGTTAAGCACACCTGCTACAACCAAAATGTTGTATTCATTTTGGCTTTAGCAAATTGCCGCTTCATAATTGCCATCAAAATGGGTCATATTCTAGTCTCTAGTTCAAGCCTTATCCGCAGGCACAACTAGGGTTGTAAATGAGTCGAGCTTGAGTGAGCTCAGGCTTAGCTCGTGTTTGGCTCGTTCGAAATTATTATTTTCAAACTTAGCTAATGTATGAAATCGCTCGCAAACTGTGTGTTTGTGTTCGACTCAATTTGCTTAGTCTTGTTCTTGTTCGGCTCAAAATTAGCTTGTTTAAAATAATTAGAAAAAATGTTGAGTGTTGAATTCAAACATGCTCCATTCCTATACAATAAAAGGCGTAGAACCGTATAACCACAGAAGTTGTGACGATTTAAACTTTTATATATATATATATATATACGTATATATATATATATATATATACATATATATATACATATATACGTATATATATATGTATATACATATATATATATATATATGTGT